TGCTGGATCATCAAAAAAAGCAAGAGTTCCAGAAAAACAAACCATCTACTTCTGCTTTATTGACTATGCCAAAGCCTTTGACTGTGTGGATCACAACAAACTCTGGAAAATTTTTAAAGAGATGGGAATACCACACCACCTGACCTGCCTCTTGAGAAGTCTCTATGAAGGTCAGAAAGCAACAGTTAGAACTGGACATGGAACAACAGACTTGTTCCAAACTGGGAAAAGAGTACATCAAGAGAAATAGTTGGCTGGATGAAGCACAAGCTGGAATCAAGATTGCTGGGAGAAATATCAATAACCTCAGATATGCAGATGACACCACCCTTATGGCACAAAGTGAAAAAGAACTAAAGAGTCTCTTGATGAAAGTGAAAAGAGGAGAGTGAAAAAGTTGGCTTAAAACTCAACATTCAGAAAACTAAGATCATGGCATCTGGTCGCATCACTTCATGGCAAATAGATGGGGAAACAGTGGCAGACTTTATTTTTGGGGGCTCCAAAATCACTGTAGATGGTGACTGCAGCCATGAAATTAAGATTCTTACTCCTTGGAAGAAAAGTTATGACCAACCTAAACAGCATATTAAAAAGCAGACATTACTTTGCCAACAAAGGTCCATCTAGTCAAAGCTATGGTTTTTCCAGTAGTCATGTATGGATGTGAGAGTTGGACTATAAAGAAAGCTGAGCGCTGAAGAAAAGATGCTTTTGAACTGTGGTGTTGGAGAAGACTCTTGAGAGTCCGTTGGACTGCAAGGAGATCCAACCAGTCCATCCTATAGGAAATCAGTCCTGAATATTCATTGGAAGGACTGATGCTGAAGCTGAAACACCAATACTTTGGCCACCTGATGCGAGGAACTGACTCATTGGAAAAGACTCTGATGCTGGGAAAGATTGAAGGCAGAGGAGAAGGGGATGACAGAGGATGAGATGGTTGGATGGCATCACCGACCAAATGGATGTGAGTTTGAGTAAGCTCCAGGAGTTGGTGATGGAAAGGGAAGCCTGGCATGCTGCAGTCCATGGGGTCACAAAGAATGGGACACGACTGAGCAACTGAACTGAACTGAACTGAGCCACATGGGGTTAAACAGGTTAGCTGATTCTATCATTCTCGTTCAAATTACCATTCCATTCAAAGTAGAAAGCCCAGAGATTAATCCACGTACCTATGGACACCTTATCTTCAACAAAGGAGGCAAGAATATACAATGGAGAAAAGACAACCTCTTTAACAAGTGGTGCTGGGAAAACTGGTCAACCACTTGTAAAAGAATGAAACTAGAACACTTTCTAACACCATACACAAAAATAAACTCAAAATGGATTAAAGATCTAAATGTAAAACCAGAAACTATAAAACTCCTAGAGGAGAACATAGGCAAAACACTCTCCGACATAAATCACAGCAGGATCCTCTATGACCCACCTCCCAGAGTATTGGAAATAAAAGCAAAAATAAATAAATGGGACCTAATTAAACTTAAAAGCTTTTGCACAACAAAGGAAACTATAAGCAAGGTGAAAAGACAGCCCTCAGAATGGGAGAAAATAATAGCAAACGAAGCAATAGAAAAGAATTAACCTCAAAAATATACAAGCAACTCCTGCAGCTCAATTCCAGAAAAATAAACGACCCAATCAAAAAATGGGCCTAAGAACTAAACAGACATTTCTCCAAAGAAGACATACAGATGGCTAACACATGAAAAGATGCTCAACATCACTCATTATTAGAGAAATGCAAATCAATACCACAATGAGGTACCATTTCACGCCAGTCAGAATGGCTGCTATCCAAGAGTCTACAAGCAATAAATGCTGGGGAGGGTGTGGAAAAACGGGAACCCTCTTACATTGTTGGTGGGAATGCAAACTAGTACAGCCACTATGGAGAACACGGTGGAGATTCCTTAAAAAAATGGAAATAGAACTGCCATATGACCCAGCAATCCCAATCCTGGGCATACACACCGAGGAAACCAGATCTGAGACACGCGTACCCCAATGTTCATCGCAGCACTGTTTATAATAGCCAGGACATGAAAGCAACCTAGATGCCCATCAGCAGATGAATGGATAAGAAAGCTGTGGTACATATACACAATGGAATATTACTCAGCCATTAAAAAAATACATTTGAATCAGTTCTAATGAGGTGGATGAAACTGGCGCCCATTATACAGAGTAAGTAAGCCAGAAGGAAAAACACCAATACAGTATACTAATGCATATATATGCAATTTAGAAAAATGGTAACGATAACCCTATATGCAAGATGAAAAAAGAGTCACAGATGTACAGAACAGACTTTTAGACTCTGTGGGAGGTGAGGGTGGCATGTTCTGAGAGAACAGCATTGAAACAAGTATACTATCAAGGGTGAAACAGATCACCAGCCCAGGTTGGATGCATGAGACAAGTGCTCAGGGCTGGTGCACTAGGATGACCCAGAGGGATGGGATGAGGAGGGAGGTGGGAGGGGGGTTCAGGATGGGGAACACATGTAAATCCATGGCTGATTCTTATCAATGTATAGCAAAAACCACTACAATATTGTAAAGTAATTAGCCTCCAAAAATAAAATAAAATAGAATAAAATAACTAGAGCTAAAAAAAAAAAAAAATTACCGTTCCATTGCCTTCTGGCTTCCTGAGTTGCATTTGATACATCCGCTGTTACCTGTATCTGCTTTTTGATGATTTGTATCTGATGATTTTTAAGTTCTACAGGGTAGAAGGCTGCCAGCTGGCCACAAGGTGAACCCATGAGTGACAGGCAAGATATAAACAGTAGAAAAGCACACAGCACTCTGGCAAGGAGCGCACCATGCGTCAGGTGAGAGCAGCAGCCGCGGCGGGGCCCTGCAATGGTCCCAGGCAGACAGACACGCAGTGCCTGGGCCGGTCAGGGACCCTCACTCAGCAATCTCCACTCCTGGAGGGACAGGGACCCCTCTGACTTAGCCAGTGGCTGCTCCGTTAGCCTTCTCGGTGGTTCTCGAAGTCCTGCTCCAACTTCATGTTACACAAGGAGCCACAGCAGTCTCCCCAAACGCCCTGGGAGGGCTACGCGGGCACACCTCCAGAGCTCAGCCTGCCCCCTCTCCCGGGCCGGCGGCTCTCCACACACTTCCTTTCTCATGGGTCTTAGTCCCACAGGTCGTCTTTCAGGTCCTGGAACCCAGGGAGCCGTGTTCTCCTTGGGGCCTTTGTCCACGGTCCTTCAAGTGTGACCGTCTCAAGTGTGGGTGACAGTCATCAAGTCCCAGCTCACACGCTACCTCCTCAGGAAGGCCTCCTACCCCTGACCTCCTACTGTTCCCACCCTGTCACCCCCTCCCCCGAGCCCTCATGAGTAGTCTCAATATATTGTCCCTTGTTTCACTTGTCCTCAGTGCTCCTGGGGGCTCCTGGTGAGCCCAGAGGGTTGTGTTTAAGGATGGTGTTCACCATCATTCCCCCAGGACATGCAGACCATCTGGGAAGTGGTCAGCAGACCTCCAGCTTCAAGATGGAGGCCTAGGTTGAGCATTCATTCTGCTTCCTCTTGAATCCCTACTAAAATGGAAATAAAGGGATTTTTCTTTGAAGGATAGAGCACAGAGACCAGTCATAGCTTGGAGTCTGACACCAAGGTGCAGGAGGTAATCCGCTGAGCAGGTGCAGGAGTGCTTCCAACGTGTTCAGGGGAAGCCCCAGGCCCAGGGAGACTGTGTGGAGCCACCAGAGGGGAGAGGCAGAGTCTGGGGGTCAGTCTCCGCCACCCCCCATCCCCACTCGGGAAGCGCCCTCGGCCCCCAGCCAACTTCGGTTGCTCCATCCAACCTGAGAAGGCCCCCTCCCTCTTGGGGTAGTTCTGAGGAGACAGCGAGCACCTGGCCAGGGCAGGTGCCCCACCAGGGCCACTCAAGGGTCAGAAAAGCCACTCGGTGGGCCAGGTCAGTCCCGTAACAGGAGCCCTCCCCGGAAAGGAGCTGCCAACAGCATCACCCAGAGCCACGCTGGTTCTCACAGCCAGACCTGTGCCCTGCCGCTCCAGCACTTCCTCTCCCACCAGACAGCCTGGGGGCGGGGGGGCGGGGGGGGGTGGCGGGGAGATGGGGAAAGGGGGTCAGCTGGCCCTCTGAGAACAAGCCAGAAGATACCACGGTCGGGGGCTCTAGTTGAACCTGCTCCTCCATGAGCCTACCTATGGCCATCTTTCCATCTCACTCGCCCGTGGGGGCTCTAGGGCCCAGTTTCCCTCCAGTTACAGCTAGCCCAGCCGCCCCTGCACCAATGCTGCTGGGAGACCCCTCTGCACCAGCTATCCAACAGCCCCTATCATGCAGCTTGTGTTCTGGGATTTGTTCTGCACCCCACCCCCTGCAGGGGCCCCAGGGAGGGAAATGGACTTTAGAGTGAGTGGGGAGAACCACAGGACGGCAAGGGGAGCCCCACGGGGAGCCTGCCTGCCAGGGGGCCAGGGCAGGGTGACCGGCACTGGCTTCACTGTGGCTTCTTAGAGAAAATGGTGCAGTGCAGCCAGGAAATCAGGCAGGAGACGCAGAACTCGGCCTGCCCTTTTCAACCTCGTGGTCATGCTCTCCGACCAACACCAGCAATCTGAAGGGGGCAGTTCCAGGAGAAAAGCGGCCACAGGGACATCTGTCAGTCTAGCTACTGTAATGGGATTTTACTCTCATAAAAACCTCTTGCCAAGGACTCTATATTTTTAGTTTTCACATGCCAGTCCTTACACAATTTGTTTTTGCCAGCTCATTTACACCCAAAATGTACTGACTACTGACAGACGCTTGGGAGAAACCTCCCGTATGTCAAGTGCTGCTTCACTTCATTCAGTTACCATCAAAGAACCAACCACAAGGACTTCACGTAAACTGCACGTTTATTAGCACTGGTGCTGCGACACAGCACTTCCAGTGAACATGCGGAGCTGCATGGAGGTGACTGGACAGGTGAGGTGCAGACTCGGGAACCGCGGGGCCTTACTTCTTCCACTCGTTCTTGTCGTAGTCCCACTTGGCCGAGAAGCCCTGGATGGGGGCCACCTTCATGTCCAGCATCCTCTTGGTCTGCTTGGCCACCCACTCCTCTTCAAAGGTGTGCGGGATGGGGCCGTACACTACAGTCCAAAACAACGTTGTGAGGCGACACTGTCTTGACAAGGTGTTTCTAAGCCAACACGTCAGGTAAGTCTTCCCCATCTCACTAGCAACTTGATCAGCACCGTCATCGGCCACTCGACACCCACACCCACACCCACACACTGGTTTCAAACCCTGTGCACTGACAACTTGGTATTTCCAAATTACACCCTGTTCGTAAAAGTGAGCACGAAAACACAATGCTAAAGCAGAATGTCTTCTGTGCAGGACAGAAACAGCAGGTACATGGGTAAGCGGAGAGCACAAGCAGAACCAAAGGCGACTCGTTAAGAGCGGACAGTCACAGGCCTGTTACCGACCCGCATCCACACGCAGGCAGCAAGGACAGGACCAGCCCTTCTCAGAATGGGCCAACCTACCCCACAGATCAGAGAACACAGCACAGGCAGCACCAGAACAGGCAGGGAGCCCCGACACTGGCCGAGCAGAAACCGCTAGGTCTCGAGACCCAGACCTCTGGTGACCTGAGCTGCAGTGCCTGCAGCCTAAACAGCCCCCCGATGGTAAGAGTTTCCTCCTCCTCAGTCTAACCTCCACCACACCTTCTGACACCTGACCGCTGAGCAGGTGAGCTACTGGAAACATGCTGGGCTGGACAACCAAGCATGGCCCATTCAGGATCAATCAGCTGCAGGCCACACCACTTGAGTTCACGCGAGCCAGCCTCCCAAAGCCGGTGAACAGTCCAGGATGGAGCCCAGAATGGAAATGCCGGTCTGTGTGATGGCCCCGCCCCACTCACCATAGTGCTTCTCCCACATAAGGAGGAGCGCAGTGAAACCGATGAAGAACATGGCCGCGCCCACCACTGTCTTCCACTCGTTTGTGCTCCTGTTCATCTCAGCGAAGCTCTCCTTGAACTTAAGGCGGTACACTGAGGAGAGAAAGGACAGTGCTGCGGGCATAGGGGACCCCCACCTCGAGGTAGAGCTCCACAACAAAGGGGGGGGGGGGGGCGCGGTGTTGTGGAACATGGGAGTGAGGAACACAAGCTTCAGGCCCTGACACACCCGCTCACACTCAGGGGTTGGCGGGGAAGGAAAGGAAGATGCATGAAGTTTGTGCTGGGTGGAAAAAAAACCTGAAGTTCTTATTTACAGTAAGGCACGGGGCCCATTTAATGTGCCTTTTTCCTGATGGTGTCAGTGATCCTCCTCAGTACTTCCCCCGAGCAGAGGCACAGAGGCGCTGCTCGCACAGGTACACCATCCCAAGTTCCACTCGGTGGCTCTGCACCTGTTCCCGCTCCTCCTGGTGGCTAGAGCCCACGAGCATGGACAGAGGCCCCTGGGAGGGGGTTCAGCCAGCTGGCAGAGCTAAGGCCCTGGACAGCCCCACAGACGCACAGCACCCCACCCTCCCCAGCACACTGGTCTCCAGGCCCAGCCCAGAACCAGGAGAATTCTTGCGCAACACAGGCTGCCCGTGGTGTCTTCAATACCCACGTTCAACTTTCTCATCAATGGAGAGGCTGCTCCAGGAAGCCTTCTCCTTTTCCTTCAAGGCCTTCTGGCTGGCAGACAGGTTCTTGACGTGGGCCACATCGGGCAAGGGGTAGTCACGCCGGTCCACATAACCCGGGAGAGCAAAATCTTCACTCTTTACAACACTTCCTAAAAAACACGTTGGACAAATATTTGAAATTCACATAGGTTCCATTACAAACAAAGCAGTACTTCTAAGAACTGAAGTCACTCCAGGTATGTGCACCCTGAAAACCTCAGTCATCCTAGGGGCTGTGACCTCCACTCCAAACAGCCACAGGACGGTCGTGTGACATGGGGGCAGGCTCACCCCATGTGGCCCTGAGAGCAGGTGAGGGTGGAGGGTAGATGCTAACAGCAGCGCTCTTCATCACAGCAAAACAGGAACCTGCCGGGGCACTGCCAACGAGAGAGCACTTCCTGCAACTACCAGGGTTCACAGAGGCTGGACAAGCTACTCAGGTCCCCTGGACTGACTGGAGCCTGGACTAAATGGAGGCCCTTCCACAGGGAACTCCAACTAACGGGGAAGAGCAATATCAAACTCATAAAAGAAACAAGGGTTCAAAGTTCAGAAAGAAAGACATGAAAACATGGCTACTGTGGCACTGCAAAGTAGCAAATAACCGTAGAAATGTGTATCATGGAGTCGTTTGGCTTGTTCAACAAATGTTTACAGAGTGCCTACTGTATGCCAAGTGCTGTTCTAGCTCAAAATGGGAAGACAGTCATGTACACACCAAGTCACAGAACACTTTCAGGGTTACATTTTCTTTTTAAGAATCTAAGCTGGAGAAGGAAATGGCAACCCACTCCAGGATTCTTGCCTGGAGAATCCCACAGACAGAGGAGCGCGGTGGGCTGCAGTCCGTGGGGTTGCAGAAGAGTCGAACACAGCTTAGCAACTGAGCACACGCACGTGGGTGTGTACAAGTTTTGAAGGATTCTGTGGTTATTTCTTAACAGTATTACATGCTCACTAAAATAATTATAGGGACGCCTCATCAGTGATATATCTTCCCAAGGTGTAAATGTCCTCTGTTAACCTGTTTCTGCCTACAGAGTCAACTAATTTCACTAAGGCGAAGCTCCTTGGAAAAACTTAATTTATAGTCACTCTTTGGTTCTGTGAACAGCTTTGACTAGCAAATAAATCCTTTGAGTGCTTTTTCAATGTGAAAAAAAAAAAAGAATCTAAGTTATGTGTAGATACTCACATGAATATGCCACTAAACACAAGGTAAACCCAAGTTGTCATCAGTGGAAAGCGGGGATGAAATGGAGACTTCTGCCCAAAAAGATAAAAATTTCAGCACCTTCAAATTGGTGTGTACCCAATGTATTACTTTAGTAAAAAGGGGGAAAGTTCAAAAAGCAGGGGAAAAAGGAGTATCTTAAACTTTAAGGTTTTCCCTCAGCAAAAAGCTGTTTGATTCTACCCTATATTTGAAGGAAATTCTGTGTTTGGAACAAATCTGGAGGTATAAAGTCCTGCAAAAATGCTTCACCTCCATTAGCTTAGTCTGAATAATTGAAATCTCCCAAACCATGTTAACAATAGTGAAAGAAAACGTTGCACCTTAAACAAAGCAGTAAAATTTCTCCAAATGCTCACTGGTGCCTTGCCTATGATTAGCACACTCATATATTCTTACCCAACCTTTTCCCAAAGAGACTGAGATGAAATGGCTAAAATTTTCATTTTACAAGTTTTCATTTAAAACTTTCCAATTTTAAAGCTCTTAAGACTCTATTAAGAGTGGACTAAAAAGCACTCAGCTTACACGAGTTATTAAAAATAGATGTAAAAAAAAAAAGATGTGAATTAGGGTGATGAGAATGTTCTCAAGTTGATTACAGGATAATGGCACAACTCAGCAAATGTACTAAAAACTGCTGAAGTGTAGCCTTTAATGTGTCAGGGTGTTATGGGAAATACATCTTAATAAAACTGTTACCAAGATGCAAATGCATATAACCTTCAAGCATCCTAAGCATAAAATTGCATTTTCTAGAACAAGAATGGCTAATGCATGACCTCACTGCTGCCAAGGGCTCGTCAAGACTTTTGGCCTGGTTCCCTAGTAAATGGAGGGCTGGGGAAGGCCCCCCCCCAACAGACACATAAATGTTAACACACCAAACATTCCTTTTAAAAGGAGAGAAAAGCAAAGATTTTGTACCCCAGTGAAGGTTTTATCATTTCTATCCTCGATCTGGATAGATACGGGGGCCTCTGCTGATGATATCTGGTGAATCTGAGCTCCCCTCTCAATCAGACGTGTCACCACATGAATACCCGAACTGCCAATGGGGGCTCCCAATGGCTATTCTATGTGGAGAATCAGTTCATGTATGACTTACACAACCAGAACTTTAGAATAAACGGACGAGACTCGTCTGAGAGACAGCAGTTTCCTCCATCTGCTTACCGTGTGCTCGAGAGGCGGCAATGAGTAAGCCCAGCAGGTCCCTGCGTCCAAAAGCTCGCGCTCCAAGAGGCAAACGGCCCTCACACTACCCGCAAACCCACAGCCTCTAAGGAAGCACACAGGGCCAGACAGGACCTATCTTCCTGTAAAATGACACCTGCACGGAGGGTGACGACTCGAAGGAAGCACCATCTACATCTCTGGAACTGAGGCAGGAGGAGCCGGCCTGGCGCATCTGAGAAACAAAACACCAGTGGGGCAGGGAGCGAGCCACTGGGGAGGGCTGGTCAGGCTGCTCTCTGCCTTTGTGAGTCTGATGTGATGAGGCCAGTGGGGCCAGGGGCTGATGTTACTCCAGGCATGAGGAGCCAGCAGGTGGCTTCAAGTAGGGACCAACTAGATCTGACTTCCTATGCCAAAAGCAGTATCTAAGAATAAGCCCCAGTCAGTGCCCCTGAGGGAGAAAGAAGTTGCCTTCTCGCAGAAGATCAGAACGACCAAAGGGACATGAAGGGACCTTGAGGGATGATGGAAGTGTTGCATGCCTTGACTGGAGTCATTGTCACACAGTTGAATAAGTTTATCAAAATCCAGAGAAACATAACATCTAGAAAAGATAAACTTTTCTTTCTGTAAATTATACTTCAAACTAAACTAAACAAACAAAAAGCTAAGGAAATACATCAGCAAAACCAAAATGGAAACAAAAGGTAATCTTTGACCTAAGTGACTTCCTAGGCTTTTAGTGAAGAAGTGTTTCTTTCTGTATGTATTAACAACTAAATTTTTTATTATCTACTAATTTAAATAACATTTCAATAATGCTTTTACTAAAATTATCTGTTTTAGAGTCTGTCATCCTGAGCAATATAAACGACATACACAAATATAACACCCAAGTATCACCAATTAAAGGACATAACATCAAGGAAAGAAAATCACATAAAGCAGCTCAGACAAAAGCTCCTGAGTCCCCGGATACATCAGTCTTGCTCTCAACTCCATCACCCATCACTCGAGCCTTGCACTTGACTCCCCAGTAACACAGTCTGTCACAATGACTCCCATTCCCTCCTCCTGCTGGCTTTCCCTCTGCCTGGAATGCCACTCCACTCTTGAGTGTGAACGAACCCCACCAGCCCTTCAGCTGAGCAAGGCCTCCCGACCAGAAGCCCCACCCTGTACCTCAGGCCAGGCTAAATGCTTCTTCTCGGAGCCCATCTCTCACTGAAACACTGCCTTCATGTATCTTTTCTCTCCAGATTGCCGACACTCTGTGGAGTAATCCCGCATCTCACATTCCTTTATTCTAAGTGTCTAACACTGACAGCTACAAGAGATGCTTGATAAATGCAAAACTCAACTTGCTATGTGCCAGGCTCTGAACTAGGTTAAGTACATTTCAGGTGAGAGAACAGGTTCCTAAACTCGAGCAAGTCCAAGGTAGAAATGAGATTAAACCCAGTTCAGGTTAGGATGTCCAAGCTCCTTCCCGTCCACTGTCCCAATAATTCAAAGAGCATTCAAGCTAGTGACTAGAAATTGGGGGTGGGGGTGGGGTGGGGGGTATGGAACAATCAAGTCAGGTATAGTGTGGATCTCTTAAAAGGTGTGGAACTTGAACCTGAAAACATGAGAAGGGAAAGAAAGGGGAGAAAATATCAGTATAAGCGAAGACTCAGACTAGAATTCATTAAAACTCTTTAATCTAGAACTAGGCACCATTAAACTGTATGTATCTCCCTTCAAATTCCTCAACAAAATGTGATCAGGAGCAAAGCTCTCCATGCCTGAAACTAGCACAAGGCCTTATGAGCAGCAGAGCAAAAAGAAAGATTATACTTACCATGGGCCCGGACACACACCGAGGTGGAAATTGCACGCCTGCCAATCAGGCTAAATACTCTGGTCGCCAACATTCTGAAAGATAAAAAATGTACCTTCACTATGAACAAGGGTAAGCATCTATTAGGAATGATTCTTCTTTTTGCCCCAGAGCATTCTGGAAGTCAATGCAATTCTTTTGTTTCTTCTTTTCCCCAACATAAGTGACTGGATCTTCATTACTGACTATGAATTTTTTAAAAAACCTAACATGAAGGCTTTTTTTCCCTCAGCAGACAGCATGTTTTAATGGAGCTCCGTTATAAACCAACTGCCATATATACACACTTTAGCCAATTCGTAGAAAACTGATTTGTTTGAGGGTGTTTTTTTTCCTTGGTTTTTTAAAAAATCAGCTTTCTTAAAAAACAAAGAGAGAAAAAAATAGTTCAAGGAGATTGTGCTGCCAGTAATGGGCTCCACCTCCTAGAAGGAAAAGGTAAACCGTTTCAAGTAACTAAGAAACACGCACAGCATTCATTACACTTGGTTATAGACTTAATATGTGCCCCGGCTTGGAAGGGGAAATGAAGGGGAAAGGATGCAAAAGCGGCCTGGTCCACTTTCAATCCCTGCAGGACAACGAATGACCGGGATAACACACCTCTCGCTTGGGCCTTTTCTGGGTCAAGCCTAGCTCCCCTATTTGCTCCTCCCTTAAAACTGGACCTTTCAGGGGGCTGCTGACGATGAAAAAGATCCCGAACGCATTCAGAAAGCAGCCCACTAAGAGGCAGAATAAACAGAAGCATGACGTCAGGGCCGAACTCGCCTCCGTTTCCCTTGTTTTCTCCCCGGCCTGGCCCGCGCCAGAGCGGGTGCCCAGCGTCCAACAGGCCTGGAAGCGGGGCGCCTCCCTCGGAGACCCGTTACACCCCCAGCGGTGGCGCAGCACCGTCGGGAGGGGCGGCCGGGAGCCCGCGAGGCGACCTGCCCTCAGGCCGCCGCACTGGACCAGCGGACACTCCAAGGTCAGAGCCGCAGCCAGCCCGCGGCTGCGGAAGGACAGATGGAGACCGGCCGGAGGCTTCCAGGCGTCACATAAGCAGCGACCAGGCGGCTTCCGAGCCCGGAGCCCCCAAGGGCCGGCCTCAATGTCACTGGGACGGAGGCCCAGTCGTCAGTTCCTTGTGGGCGCCCGGCCGCGGGTACGTAGGCCCGAGGGCTCCCGGCGCCCGACCCTTCTCAGCCTCGCGGCGCGGACCTGCCACCACCCGCCTCACCTGCCGCCAACGACCAGCCGCTGCCCACCGTGCCCGCCGCGACCGCCCTCTACGGCTCGCCTGCCCGCGACCGGAAGAGAGCGAGGCCGAGCCGCGGAGCACCACGGGATCGAGGAGGACTCCGCCCCGCGCCCGACCGCGCGGGAGGTCACAGGACCGGAAGTAGGTCCAGCGGCGAACGTCGTAAAACGCCGGACTGGGCGGCTTTCCGGCGGCTACTGGACGTCCGCTTTCCGGCGGCGCCCGGCGAGAAGCGCGAGTGGAGTCTTACGGTGGCCGCGTCGGCCTCTCCCGGGTGGTTAGCCGGCGTATGAGAAGCGGAGCTCGAGCGGGGCTGGGCCCGTCAGGGGCCCTCGCCAGCCGCGGGGCCGCGCCAGGGAGCCGCCGCCTCGTCCTGCTTCTCCCCTGAGGCGCCGCGCGGCCGGGCAGCGGATCCAGGCCTCGGCCGGCGCCGGGCCTCCGGGGCCCTCCCGGGCTCAGCATGCCCGGGGTGAAGCTGACCACCCAGGCCTACTGCAAGATGGTGCTGCACGGCGCGAAGTACCCGCACTGCGCGGTCAACGGACTGCTCGTGGCCGAGAAGCAGAAGCCGCGCAAGGAGCACCTGCCCCTGGGCGGCCCGGGCGCCCACCACACCCTCTTCGTGGACTGTATCCCCCTCTTCCACGGCACCCTGGCCCTCGCCCCCATGCTGGAGGTGGCCCTCACCCTGGTAAGCGCGGGAAGGGGCTTGCCTCGGAATTAGCGAGACAGGAGACGGGCTGACAGTCGGCTTCCGAGCCGTCCCGGCTAGAAGCTCAGGGCGGTCCAGCCGGAGTCTGGACCCAGCACCGCCGAGCTCGCCGTGACCGTGAACGGGCGACCCGCGAGGGCGCGTCGGCCTTTGCCTGCACGCACGTAGCAAGCGCCCCTCAGATGGCAGGCAGCTCGCCGTTGCAGCGGCCGGAGGGGCGACCTCAGCCGTCCCGGGTGTTTTTAGAACGCCTTAGGCGACGGAAAAGGCACCGATTTTCTCACACCAGTAGCCCTTATAGAAACAAGCCGCTGTTAACCGAGCGTCTGTATTTGGAAGTTTGAGTAGCGGGCAGTTGGGACGTTGCCGTCGGGCTCGCGCGCACCGTCGCGGGGCCGGGTCCGTGTCTGCCGTAGGTTGAAGGCGCGGTTCTTCCCACGTCACTGCCCCGGGACACCCAGGTGGACCCACGGTTAAAAAGGCGGCGTCGAGCGCTCCGTGAACAAGACCTTGTCTGGCCTCTTTAGTGACATCTGGAATGCACCCGTAGTTTTAAAAGCTGAAGACTCTGTGTGGAATTTGAAAGCCAGAGCAGACTTGCTTTCCAGCCCGCACACTTCTGTGGGTCTGCTCACGACTGGTTTTTTTGAAGTACAGTGGGAGAAGGTGTGGCATAGGAACAGACCGACTGGTTATTGAATTCTAGGCTGTAGCTGTTGAGGTATGGTGACCGGTGAAGGAAAAAAGACCACCTATATATTGGAGTTAAAACCTTAGGGAGGAGTAGGCTCAGACCTACCTGGGTTGAATATGTCTATGATACTAAAAGAGAATTAGTTGATTCATGCAGAGTAGTTAAGTTTGAGAAGAGTAGTAGAAATCCTTTCTCTCTACATCCCAAGGAGTAAAATGAATCCATTTTGTAAATTACCTAATTATGACAGATAAGCAGGAAGTATCTTTAGACCAGTGGTCCTTGCCTAAGCTTACTGGGCACATCTTTGAGTACCTGTTAAACTGAGTCATTGTGTGAATTTTTTCCTATCATCGTGGGGCAGAACATAGATAGAAAGTAGATGATGTGTACAGAATCAACCATTTTAGCTCCTAAAGAAACGTGCTGTTGGTATCAGTGTGTTCCTGGGGTATGCCTGTGTCTGTTTTAATGCAAGTCTTTTCAGCTCCCTGTCTTGATTATTCTATCAAGAGAACTGTGTGGTGATTGGCCATGTGAAGTCCAGTCACTCGAAGGGAACTCAACTGACCAGTAGTGCTACTGCAGCTCTCCAGTACAGCCACGCCTGTGCTAGGGGGAAGGGTATTGCTGTGGATCAAATACAGTACATGCGTAGTGGTTGAACTTGTACCAGGCAGACAAGTACAGTACTGAAGAATAAGTGCCAGAAGGGCGGGGCGGGGCGGTCCACTGACCCAGGCTGGCAGAGTCAGGGAGGGCAGGCTGCCCAGAGAAAGGGACATGCAAGTGGTGGCCCAAGGAGCAAGGCTGCAGGAGGGGGACAGAGGGACCAGGTGAAAACCAGGTTGGGGGGGTGGGGGGGACTTTCAGAGATGAGCTAGAAGGTAGAGTATAAAGGGACCAGACAGAAAAGAGGTAAGCGGTGGACAGATTCATCGTAGAAATCATTCCGGGACACTGCTCGCTCTGCACCACTGCATCTGTACTCCAGACGCACCTTCCAGCATTTCCCCAAATGTGCCCTTCAGTGTTGGAGTCTCCTGTCCAACAGAATTAAGTGCAAACTAGGTTTTCTGCACTTAGCTTCTTTTCAGACAGTAAAAACTGTCTGAATGTCTGTCCTTGCCAAGCAGTGTGGTGGTTTGTGCTCACTTTTCTTATATTGATCAAAACTTTGAATCATAGACTCAGCATTTAACAAGTAGGAGAACAATGTCAATTGAGTACAAATTAACTTTCAGAATAAAGTTATAAAAAAAAAAATTGCCATTTGAAACCATCTACAAGTTTTTGTGTTACTGTTATTTGTTTATATCATTCAGGTTTTGTCTTAGCAACTTTATAACCTGAAGGCAATGAAAAATCTCAGCCATAGTTTATCAGCTGTAGAAAATGTTTTAATAAAGCATCTAAATCCATAATACTATACAGGAGGCCTAATTCTGATAGCTTGTTTCTATTCAGGGAGTTTTGTATTGAGTTATTTTTAATAAGTGGGAAAGACTGACTTGGTATGCTGTCCATCAAAGGGCAGCATCAGATTCCTTTGCAAGGCTTTTCATTATAATTTTCCATTTAAAAAAAATCCTTGCATTTCTGGGAGCTTTCTATTTTTTTTAAGGACTTAGGCCTGTTATCTTAATTTATCCTTACAACCCTTTGACGTAAGTAGTGATGGAATTATTTCTAATAGCAAAAACCCATAAAATGTCAGTAGGGAAATTAGCATAAAGCTGCTATTTCCGTAAGCCCTCTTTGTCCTCCCCTCCCCCCCAAACACACACACCCCCACTGTGATTTCCTAGTGCTGGGAGCTGCTTGTCCGTACCTTCTGCTCAGATGCCTTCCTCGTTTGACTTGGGCCTGGAATTCCTTCTGCTGCCCCCATGTGTGCCTTCTCTGTGATCATCTGCACAGGCTCCCGCCCCTCTGGCTCTCAGCTCAGCCCCCTACTTCATCCTGGGAGGGGGAGCTGGCTGCTCTGGGCTCTCCTCTCAGTTCTTCCTGTGACCTTCACTCTGTTCCCAGGCCCCTTATCACCAGCGCTCTTCCTCCAAAGCCAGCTCCTCCTCGTGGAAGAATCAGCTACTGATTTGATGATCTTTTTCTTCTCTGTGAAACTAGGCAACCCCTCTAGTTTTAGACTCCAGGACCTGGGTGTTGCTGCAGACAGGGAGGCTCCCAGACACCCTAGCTTGTGAGTGACCAGCCTGGAAGCAGCACCCTCCTTGGGGTGGCTCTTACTTAGCAGCGCCCTGTCTTGCCTGCTTTGTGGCTGTGGTCACGGAAGTGCATGCAGTGTTATGAGAACTCCAGGTGCCTCGCTCATGCAGACACTAGCAAGTTTGCTGAGAGAAGCTGCTTTCTTTGTCCAGCCTAGCTGGGAGTGGACGAGTGGGCCCGGAGCCTTTAGTAGTTCTGCATGTCTGCGAGGGAGCAGGCCTGAGAGACGTGAACAGAGGGTGGTGGCTTGTGCCAAGGTGACAGTGTCCTTCTTTCCATCTGAAAAGTAAAGGAAACTGCATAAGTGAATGCAGGATTTGGACCTTGTATCAAAGTCACTTGCCAGGTATCAGAATGCCATCGTGAACGTTTTCATTTTGATTGTTCACAAGATGCATCACAGGAGGAGGACACCATAGCAGCAGAAACGAATTCACTGAGAACAGAGTTCAGACAGCTTCTCAGCTCTTTTGCTTTGTCCTGCTGCACTTGGCAGAGAAAGCTATGGCACCCCACTCCAGTACTCTTGCCTGGAAAATCCCATGGATGGTGGAGCCTGGTAGGCTTCTGTCCATGGGGTCACTAAGAGTCGGACACAGCTAAGTGGCTTCACTTTCACTTTTCACTTTTATTGGAGTGAAGCATTGGAGAAGGAAATAGAAACCCACTCCAGTGTTCTTGCCTGGAGAATCCCAGGGACGGGGGAGCCTGGTGGGCTGTCGTCTATGGGGTCGCACAGTCAGACACGACTGAAGTGACTTAGCAGCAGCAGCAGCAACCCTCCTTGGAGGGTGCGAGTTGCCTACTGTATAATCTGCCGCTTAAATCCACTCGGGCATTTTGTTAACAAGCTGTTTGGGCTGACTGCAGGATTCTGAAACCCCTCAAGAGCCACCTGCCCCATCCCCAAGCGGCGGACTGTCCACACTGCTTGCCTTCCCCCACACACTGACTCTTATGTGTTCCGTCACTCACTGATGAAGTCTGGTTCCACTGAAACTGTGTACGCTACTTCTGTGGACTCTGATGGCTGGTTCTCCAGTCATCAGCTAGTGGCCACTGGTGTCTCTCTGGACAGTGAATGTGCATGCCCATCACAGGCATCCAGACTTCACTTGGTGATTCTTATTTGAATCACTGAAAGGTTTCAAAAGCCAAGCCCGAGCTTTTGTGACCTGGTTCACTTTGGGAGCAGCCTCTTCAAAGAGTTCTACTAGGAGTTCCCTGAGGTCCAATCGTTAGGACTTGATGCTTTCCCTGCCGGGGCCCCAGGTTCAATCCCTGGCCAGGGAACTAAGATTCTGCAAGCCATGTGATGCAGCCAGAAAAACAAACAAAAAACAAAGAGTTCTACTAGAAGTATAAGGTCATGACATTATTTTTCTGCTGGAGTTTGGCTAGGCCTTTAGAGTGTTTTGTCCAGGAATTCACCCCTCTTTAGGTAAAGTGTCAGTTGAGGTATGTTTGTTTGTCAGAAGAATCCACCATCTTGTCAGATGCCTTCTCTGCTGTCTGAGCTCAAGTACAGGGTGGCCCTGTGTGTTTGTTGGCGACTGAATCCCAAACCATTCCCTTCAGCCCAGGAGCAGGATTGGGGAGCAGCTTAGACTGCTCACTGAGGAGTGTTGTGAGAGCTCCCGATGGCCTGGTGTTAGGGTTTGGTGCTCTCACCGCTGTGGCCTGAGTTCAGTGTCTGGTCAGGGAACTGATACCCCCAAGCCTCGCCACAGGCTTCAGGACAGCGGCAGTGGGAAATAATCATCTTATCCTTGCATTAAAGGTAGCTGTGGTAGGCCAAAAAAAAAAAAGTGCCCCTCCCCTCAAGATGTCCACGTCCGAGTCCTTGGACCCTTGGACAGGTAACCTTACATGGAACAGGAGACTGCAGATAAGATTAAGTTAAGGATCTTGAAATGCAATGATTATCCTGGATTATCTGATGGACCCAGTATAATCACAAGGGTCCGCATAAGAGGCAGTGGGGTAAGAGTCAAAGAAAAAGAGTTTTGACAACAGAAGCAGGGGTCAGAGTGAGATAGCCACCTCCTGAGGAATGTGGTGACCTCTCTGTGTGGGAAAAGGCAGGGAGCAGATTCTCCCCTCGAGTCTCCGCCGAGAGTCAGCCCCACGGACTCGTTTTAGACTTCTGACCTGTGAAACAGATCTGTGCTGTGTTAGGCCACTAAGTGTTCGTACCAGACTCAGGACACTCTCTGTAGTTGTGACTCTGGATGTAAGAGCAGCCAACACCACGGAGCCAGGCGAGGGGCGCAGAGGTGGGCAGAAGTGGGGGTCTCCTACATGAGGACGCCCTCAAGAGACCAGTCTTCAATCAGAAACAAAGGCTGAGAGAGTGACACCAAAGGGCGGGCCAGTGGGTGGGTCTGAGTTCAGGAAATGGGACCGAGTGCCAGGTTTTAGAAGTAGGCTATGCCCTTCGATACCACATGGAGGTAAATTTAGAAAGAAATGAAAGAATTTTGCTGCTATAAGCAGCAGTAGAATTTCCAAGACTCATTCTTTTAAGAGGTGATAGAAATAAAATATAAGTAGTTGTGGAATAATTTGCCTCAAAGTTAGAGTGAAAGAGCCATTATAAATATTTTGGAGACATAGCCCTCATCTCTTGGGTGGATGACCAAAACCTCTAATTGGTTCATTGAGCCTTGGTTTTGACCCAGTATGGTAATTTGTGAGCTCTTAGGAGGCCAGAATTACTATTCTAATCCTCATGTGAGCCAGGGAACCTTGGACTGTGACCATTTTGTAATATCTGCTTTTAGTCATAAAGGAGACTATTGGAGTCCCAAACCAGAATTTGAGAAAAAGAAGGAATAGAGCTATGTTTAAAAAGAGAAAAGAAACCCTTTTAAACCAGTTAATTCACTTTGAAAAAAATTGAGGATCAATTGTATCTCTTCTTTTGCAAGCCGAGAATAGAATTTCCTGCAGTGTATTATTAAAATTCCATTACAGCAAAACAGGACGACCTTTTGTTGTTTTTAATAATAGCATTAGACCTGCAGGATGCTAAATCTGATGAGAGAAGAGTGGCATTGTAAAACAAAAAATTTTCCAAATCTGCTGTCATGCTCCCGTTTAAAAGCATGCCACAATATAAAATAAAATAAAAGCATGCCACAGGGAAGTGTGTGAGTGCATGCACGTGTGCTCCTCTGTACCCCACGTCCCAGCACAAGGGGTTTTCATAGTGTATTGCAAGGAATACTGGAATAACAGTATTGAAGGACTTGACTTTGAAAGAGATTCAGATTCCCATACTGCCTCTGTTTTCTGGCTGTGCAAGTTTAGACCCTCTCTGAGCTCTTTAGTTTGCTATCTGTGAAGGACTGATTTTAACTCTCTGAAGGTTTATTCAAGCCCCAGAAGGCCTCAGTGCTTCATTTTGTCAGAGAAAGTGGGTAACACTGGTTCCCCCTCACCCACGGCACTGCACCCATTTATTATGTGTCTCTCTGGAGCCTTCTGCTGGGACTGGGGGAGGACGTCATTCCTAGTGTCCAGCCTCACCCCTCCTGGCTATTGCAGGCTCATCCTCTGTGGGAAGACATCCCACCTCCGAGAGAAGGGGAGCCTACGCTCTTCTTTGCTTTCTCTGACCTCCTGTGGACTGTGGAAAAGCTAATTGCGGTGGCCTTCTTTCCCCTGAATACCCATACACCCATTTGGTGTGGGTTGGTTTTTTTTTTTTTTTGGTGGCCATACCACCACCATAATTTGGTGGGATCTCAGTTCCCCAACCAAGGACTGAACCTGGGCTATAGCAGTGAAAGTCCAGAATCCTAGAAATCCCATGGACAGAAGAGCCTGGTGGGCTACAGTCCATGGGGGTCGCAAAGACTAGGACATAACTTAGCGACTAAACAACAAAGGCCACCAGGAAACTCCCCCGGAAGGATACAGGAGTTCTGTTTGTCTTGTCCCAGCATTTGGTTGAGGGAGGAGGGCTCCTCTGTTGATTGAGACTTGATATTTAAGGGAAATGCATTCACCTTTTCTTCCCAAATTGTGTTCTCTCTTCAGATTGATTCGTGGTGCAAAGATAATAGCTACGTGATTGCTGGTTATTATCAAGCTAATGAACGAGTAAAGGATGCCAGGTATATGCATGCGAAACCCTCAGTGAGCTCCGGGTGCAGAATCTGTAAGAAGAGTGTCCCTCCCTGCTTATTGATAGTACTCCAGGGGTATTGGGGTGCGATGTGTGGGAACAGAGCCCCTCCGTGCTGTCGATAGTATTCCAGGAGGGCTGGGGTACGGGTCATTCCAAACACTTATATGAACGTTGGGATTCTGTCCTGTGTTGTCTTTATTTTCCTTAAAGGGAATTCTTAAAACGAAAGCAACAGTCCAGGGCCTCCTGTTCGGTCCCCCCTCAGCTGCGCCTCGCTTCCCATTCCCAAACTGGGATTGATGTAGGGCAGAGCACCAGGCACTGGTGCACCAGGCACCACTCCACTCTCTTTTGGGGTAAAAAAAAAAAAAAAAAAAAGAGCAACTTTTAGGTTTGGTGTTCTTTGGGTCTGCTGCTTTGACGAAAACAGTGCTTGCTACTTCTCCCATATAATAGGTCTTACTTTCTTTTATCCAGCTAGTTGCCCCATGGTGGTTCTCACTAATGAGCAAAGCTGAGATCTTTGCTTTGTTTCTGCGTCAATGTCCTAGCAGAAAAACTGATGACATCCTGACGTTAGGGTAATTTGAGGTGGGCTTAATAAGCTGGTTGTTTCCAGAGGTGTGAAATGTATGTCAGAGAAAGGAGGGTGGTGTAGTTACCCAGAGCTGATGACAAAAGCTGGCACCTGCCCTGCCTGAAGGAATGAAGACAGGTCAGGTCAGGAAGTACCCCCCGAGAAGAAGAGTGTCCTTTGGTCAAGAGATACGGCTAGCAGCCAGCCTGACATGACCTCAGGAAGAGAGTCCCAGAGGAGTCAGCAGCCAGAGGCATGAGCCGGGTCACCCTGCAGCTTTCCTCATATGGCCAGGCAGTTAGGGGGTGCAGTGAAGGGCCTCAGACCAAATGCCTCCCGGAGTCGTGTCCACTTGCCCAGCATAGGCAAGTGGTAGGACTCAGTAGCATTGGGGGAAATAACACAGTAAGCCGATAGAGCACTTCCAGAGATGTGAACTGTTTTATCCTAGAGGACTGGGCCCAGTCGGGACTGAGGGTGACAGGGTCCCCAGCGCGGGCTCAGCAGCTTCTGCGTCAGCCTCTCCATGGACCACAGGCAGAGCTGCTCTCCGATCCCTGATTCTTTAGCTTTTCCCGAGACGTCTCTGACGGTTTGGTCCCTGCGTTCATGCATGCCTCTGCTTTCTCCTCCTCCTTACCAGCCCCTCCTTCGAGTCCACCTGCCTCCCTGTGTTGATGAGTTGGAGACTGTTCATGGCCTGTGTCAGTCTTCGTCTTATTACACAAAGGAAGCTGCCAGGGTGTGAATCCCTGCCCCAGGCCAAGCTCTCTGCTGAGCTGAGCCACGGACTCCTGGCCCTTGCCCTCAAGTTGCTGCACTGAACTTGAAAGACATTGAAACCCAGGACTGTAGTGCAGGCCCCTGAGCCTGTGCTGTGAGGGTGGTGTGGGGGCTCTGGCAGCGGGAGCAGGAGGCACTCCAGCCGCGGGCGTGACAGAGGAGCCTCCGGGAGGGTGTGGACAGATGAGCCATGGCTGCGGACCTCGGCCCTGAGATGCCTGGGCAGCCCTGCCGACACTAAAGGCCTTCCAGGGTGACCAGGGGATGAGAATCCCTGGGGCCCTTCTCTATTACATTGTTTTGTGTTTCATTTTTCTTAATATGATGTTGCAGATAATCACACACCTCTGTAAATTTTCAGTTTTGAAGGTAAAAATAGAATAGTTGGCTAAATTTATTTTTATAAAGCATTAAGCCTGCTTTTTTCACCTCAATCACAATGAAAGGATCGTAACTGTATAGTGTGTTTGTTTCTGGTTCAGTCCCTGCTTCAGAAAGCTGAGACTGATCGTACAGAGGGAAAGATGCACAAAAAGACAAGGGCCCCTGCTCTGCCCTGAGCTCCACACAGTCCTCAACACGTCACTGCAGCGGGATCACAGTCCCCAAAAGCTACTTAAATGGGTGTAACCCCACACGGGGGGGCGTGGCTTACTGGTGCTGTTGGTCTTTGTGTCATTGCTGTTTACTCTGCCACAGGCAGACAGTGTTTCCCAGCGTCAACTAAAACTTGGTAACCTCTCTGGTTCTTCTCTCGCAGTCCAAACCAAGTAGCAGAAAAGGTGGCCTCCAGAATTGCCGAGGGCTTCAGTGACTCGGCTCTCATTATGGTGAGTCACTGTCGCTCCCTCCAGAGTCCTGTGTGTGGGGACAGCTGCTGAGCAGCCTCTTGCTGACGGGCAGCTTTGTCTGTGAGCGGTTTCCTTTCTGCAGGTACTTACTTCACCAGACTATGGCCTCCTTCGGCCATCTTCTCCCAACTGCAGGCTTAAAGTTGCTGAGTCAGGGCCGCTGCAGTCATGCACATGGGTGTCCAGAGGTGGGGGTCATTCAGTCCCAGCGGGTCTCAAAGTGGGGTCCCTGTGCTGAGAGTATCAGTGCCACCTGGGAATCTGTTGGAAATGTAGAGTCTAGGGGCCTAGGAATCTGTGTCTCCATAAGCTTCCAGATGGTTCCAACGTGTGAGACGTGTTGAATTAGGTTAACCAGCATAGCTGAGGGAGCAAGGAGGGAAATAGCTTACGTCAAGAGCCCTGTTCCTCTCAGTTCAGATGGAATTCTAACAGGGAAGGCAGAATAACGTTTTGGAAGCTTCGAGTTTGTGAGAAAGCAGTCAAGTACTCTGTTTCTCCCACGTGATGCACGGTGTAGCTGGGCCGTGGTGGGGTGCACTCTGAGGTGGGGTTTCTGCCGTGGTGGGCGGTGTTGAGCCCGTCCCTGACCATCCCTGTGGAGACCTCCCCCATGGGCGAGCCCCAGGGAGGGACCTGCAGGCTGCCGCAGAGGTCCTGGCTCTGTTCACGAGCACACCCTTTGTCTCGTTGCAGGTAGACAACACTAAGTTCACGATGGACTGTGTGGTCCCCACGATCCATGTGTATGAACACCACGAAAACAAATGGCGTTGCAGAGACCCGCACTAGTGAGTGCCCGTTCCCGGGGCAGCCCGAGTGCTGGGGCCTATCCTGGCACGCTGTTCCCGTGGGAACGCTGACCCCCGCCTTCTGGGTTTCTAACCTAGCATGTTTTCTAGAGAAGTGTGCACACCTCATACAGAAGTCATGGGTGTTCCTCAGCCCCCGGAGGACAGGCCTGCAGGGTTTCCAAGCAGTGCAGACAGCCTGTCACTCACTGGTCTCCCCTCCCACTCCCAGGCCCCCTTTCCCTAACCCAGACCCCTCTCCCCAGGCATTTGTTTGGTTTATTTGCAGTCAGTCATCTGCCTCCAGCTTTTTCAGAGTTTGATTTGAAGGTTCTCTCTTCCATGTTTCATATTCTTTATGTGCATCTTCATGTGTTTAGATGTGTGTGTTTGCTAGAGTTCGCCCTTGGCTTCCTTTACACTCTGCACGCGGCTGGTTTCCTGTTTGCTCTATGGAAAAGCCACACATGTTGAGTAAGAGGCTGACTTCTCCTGTCTCATCTCATAGTGATTACTGTGAAGACTGGCCGGAGGCCCAGAGGATCTCGGCATCACTCCTGGACAGCCGGTCCTACGAAACACTCGTGGATTTTGATAACCACCTGGATGACATTCGGAATGACTGGACAAATCCAGAGATCAATAAAGCTGTTCTGCACCTGTGTTAGGGAGGGGTTTCAGTGACTGGTCTCTGGGCATTTCCACTGCACTGAAGAAAAAAGCTATTTTTAAATGTAAATGAAATATCATAGCCGGTGTGGAAAGCTGACAGTTTTCAGAAGTGGCGTGTGCCTTGAGAAAGGACAGAATGTCCATCAGTCATCTGTCTAATGCAGAGTCTCTAGACCAGGTACAGACCGTCCCATCTGACCACCCTGTGGAGCCTTCCCAGTTGTACGTGGCTATAATTCTTCAAATCAAAGCTATTTCTGCTTGTCCAAGATTGTTCCTATTAAACAATTTTAACTAACCTTTTATAATCTGGAGAGAATACTTTTTAAGGCATATGAACTGTCTTTAAAAAAAAAAAAAGCCCAGATCTTACACCCAAAAGAGAGTGTTTGTGAGTTTTCATCCTGTTTGAGTTAATACCATCCAGACTGGGGAGCAGGCCCGCCCCTGGTGTGCCGGGCCAAGCTATGTCTGAAGAGCCGTGTGCTGCTGTCCGCAGCCGGGAGGCTCCCCTGGCTGCTGCGTCTCTTCACATGGGAATAATGCTGCTGGTGCCTGAGAAACCTTCATCGTTAAGGGGTAAAAACAAACACTGTTGGGAAGGCAGCTTGAGTGGGAGCACTGTGTGATGCTCCTCAAGCAGACAGATGGGAAACCCACGGAACTGAAGAAAAGGGGACCAGTGTGCTAAGACTGTCTTAAAAAGGCAAGAGTCGGTCCTGACTGCTGACCAGCTTGCATGATTACCCAAATGGCTGTAATTTATTTCTTCACAACAGTTATTTCTTTTCGTATCTGAAGCCACACGAGCTGAACAAAACATAGGCTCCTGGAGTTTTACAGCACCCAGTCTGTAATCGTTAACGCTTGAAACAGTTAAGCTTTTTAACCCCATTGTAGGAAATTGATGCGGAAATGATTCCATCGCATTTATTCTTTTTCATATGAATTATTCCATGCAGAGTGCAGGGACCTGTACCTTTGCCACTGTTTATTGGACCATGTGAAGGAAGTCTGTGACGATTGGGTTATCTGTTGAAAAGGTTTATGACGCAGCATTTCACTGTTGATAAAACAGTAGGAAACTTTCCAGCATTGCTTACAATAGATGTGCTTCCTTTGGCCCACCAGATTCTCTCTCCTTCCTTCAAATCCAGCTCACCCTTGGCTTTGTAAGGTGACCGTATGTCATGTGGGGAACACAAACCAAGGGCTGGCGTGCCGGTGCCCTGCACCTGCTCACTGCTTGCCTCAGAGGCTGCGACCAGCACAGGTGGAGTGCGGCGGACAGTCTCGTTCCAGATGGGTCTGTATTTTATTTTGAAAAGGAGAAGAGTCAGTCTCTAGCATTGCCACAGAAAAGGCTGTCTTTTCCTGAAATTAGAATGAGCGTGTGCTACCTCCAGGTCAAGGTCAAAGGTAACTGGCGGAGCTATTTGAATCCAAAGGTGTGGCCAAGACTAGTTTGGAAGCATTGCACAGATGGTCTTAGTGTCCCTCATTTTTACCTCTCTGTGCAATTCTTGTTCTTGGTTCCACCAGCTTCCCAGGAATGTGTTCTGTTCTCCAGTTTGGATTTCAGCCTAGAACCAGGTGCCCTCTCTGTAGCAGAGTCAGACTCATGTTTTCAAAAGAAAACATAATAAATACTCCAAGGAGAAGAATGTATCTGTGAAGAAACAAAAACAAATTTCCAGAGTGCAGACGATTGCTTCTGGATGCTTGTGAAAACAGCAAAGCCTCCGCTGAGCCCCCAGGCCCCGTGCCAGGCTCCCCTCCGTCCTCTCCAGGCCTGGCTCTGTGCATTCTGGGACTCCAGTCTCCCAGCCCTTAGAACTCAGTCATCATTTTTACCCACTGAAGATGAGAGTGGGAGCCCATCAGATAGCCACTGAAATGGAGTCATACTGTGATTTCCCTAAAAAAAAAGACTTAGAGAAGCAACACAAATTATATTGTACATTTAAGAGATCCTTGTCAGTCAGAATGTTCCTAAATGAGTCCTGCTTCAGTCCAAAGGCGCTGGAGGGGAAGGGGTGGGGAATGTGTAAAGACATCCCCTTAGAACCAGCCATATCCTTAAAATTCTGGTGGACGTTTTTCTCTGTTCCATACATCCATCCATCATGAAGTGAGTGGGACAAATGAATTACTGGTTTTGCCTAAAAATGCCATCCAAGTCTAATGGTTGCCTTTAAAAATTGAAAATACTGAATATGAAAAGGTAGGCTGTGACTTCCTAAATGACAAAAAGCAAAGTGCACACTAAGGAAAAATTGACTTAAGCTTTCCAGGGATCTGGTATTTTTAAGCTTCCTCAGTGTGAAAAGTTCTATATAATTAGCTTTGACTCAGTGACTTATTTTTCTGATTGATATGCTTGCAAAACTGTTGTTCCCTCTTATAGTAATTTTCAGCTTTTCTGACTTACTGTCTTTGTTTTGCCTTCAAAAGAGAAATATTGGCTTCCCAAACTGCCCCTTTTTAGTATTATATTTAATCTTAGCAGAGTAGCTACTTTATGACATCCTGGTAAGTGAAAGGAAGAAAAAGAGCCATGAGCATTAATCTCCATACCCTGCAGACATGTTTAGCAATTTTAATGAAGAGAACTGAATTTAAAAATAGACTTTCGTTTTACTAATTGACATTTCTTTAGCCTTTCCATCAACTCAGTGCCTCTTAAGCACTGGATTCTTTTCTTCAGTTCAGTAGAAAGCCTGGCGGCAAAGACTGGTTTGTGTTCCCCCTGCCAACTTTCAGATAAAGTGGAAGTCTCTTAGTCGTGTCCAACTTTGTGACCCCATGGACTGTAGCCCGCCAGGCTCCTTGGTTCATGGAACTCTCCAGGCAAGAAAACTGGAGCGGGTAGCCATTCCCTTCTCCAGAGGATCTTCCCAACCCAGGAATCCAACTGGGGTCTCCGACCTTGCAGGCTGATTCTTTACCAGCTGAGCCCCCAGGGACATCTTTAGCTCTCAAACAGATAGCTCTCAGAGGGCGTGTCAGTCTGACTGCGTTCCCACACACCTCAGGATCTGGGGGATAACTGAGTATTTGTGTTCTCAAGTTTTTTCCCCCTGAATGATTAACTTCTTGGATCTGGTCCAGCTTTAGAACTGCCAAAAAACGTGTTCTCCTTGGCCTTTTGCTTTCACAGTAGTGTGTCCGGTGCCAGCGTGGAGGGAACCTTTGGCTTGAACTTGCATTGCGATATAAAGCAAAATAGCATCCTATATTTAGTGCTGTCTGAAAAAAGTTCCAGATCCCATCAGGAAGGCCGTGGTAAATAATCACACTTCAGAATACAGGCACACCTCAGAGATATTGTGGGTTTGGATTCAGATCACTGAAATAGAGCAGTAAAGTGAGTCACATGAATGTTTTAGTTTCCTGGTACATATAACAGTTATGCTTACACTATACTGTAGTCTGTTAAGTGTGCAATAGCATTGCGTCTGAGAAAACAATGTACATACCTTATTATTTAAATAGGTCATAGGTCAAACATGCTAACCATCATCTGGGCCTTCAGAGAGTCGTCATCTTTGCTGGTGGAGGGTCCTTGCCTCAGTGTTGGTGACTGCTGGCTGACCCGGGTGGTGGCTGCTGAAGGCTGGGGTGCCTGTGGCAATTTCTTAAAATGAGACAGCAGTGAAGTTTGCTGTGTGGATTGACTTTTGTGGACAGTTTCTTCGTAGCATGCAGTGCTGTCTGATAGCATTTGACCCACAGTAGAACTTCTTCAAAAATTGGAGTCAGTCATCTCAAACCTGTTTTATCAACTAAGTTGAGGTCGTAGTCTAAACCCTTTGTTGTCATTTCAGCAGTCTTATCTTCACAGGAGTGGGTTCCGTCTCACGAGACCACTTCCATGTCTGTCCATAAGGATCAGCTCCTCTTCCACTCAGGTTTGATCATGAAGTTGCAGCAATTCAGCCACGTCTTCAGACCCCACTGCTCCTTCTAGATCTCTTGCTGTTCCCCCCACATCTGCAGTTACTTCCTCTGCTGAACTCTTGAACCCTTCAAGGTCATTCATGAGGGCTGGAATCACCTTCCAGACTCCTGTGTATGTTGATATTTTGACCTTTTCCCAAGAATCACGGATGTTTTTAATGGCATCTAGAATGGTGACTCCTTTCCAGAAGGTTTTCAATTCACTTTACCCAGATCCATCAGAGGAATCACCACCTATGGCATTTGGAGCCTTACTAAATGTGTTTCTTGAAGAAGACTTAAAAAGTCAAAATAACAGTTTGATCCATGGGCTACAGAATGGATGCTGAGTTAGCAGGCGTGAAAACCATTCATCTCATTGTCCGTCTGCATCAGAGCTGTTGGTTGGGTGACCAGGTGCATTGTCATTGAGCAGCGATCTTTTGAAAAGAATTTTTTCTTTCTGAGCCTCAGGTTACAACATGGGATTAAAAATACTCAGTAAACTGTGTTAACAGATGTGCTGTCATCTAGGCTTTGTTCTGTTTATAGCGCACAGGCAGAGTAGACTTAGCGTCATTCTTCAGAGCCTGGGATTTTCAAAATGAGCAATGACTTCAACTTAAAATCACCGTAATATTAGATATTAGCCCTAACAAGAGAGTTAGTCCGTCATGTGAAGCTTCGAAACTGGTCATTGACTTCTCGGTCCTAAAGGAGATCGACCCTGAATATTCACCGGAACGACTGATGCTGAAGCTGAAGCTCCAGGACTTTGGCCACCTGATGTGAAGCACTGACTCATGGGAAAAGACCCTGATGCTGGGAAAGATTGAGGGCAGGAGGAGAAGGGGATGACAGAGGATGAGGTGGTTAGATTACATTACCAACTCAGTGGGCATGAATTTGAGCAAACTCCAGGAGACGGTGAAGGACAGGGGAGCGTGGCACGCAGCAGTCCATAGGGTTGCAAACTTGGACACGACTTAGCGACTAAACAACAACAACAAATCAACTTCTCTCTAGTTATGAGAGTCCTAGATGGCATCTTCTCCCA